TGAGGCATGTTGCCCGGGGAGTACTCACAATTGTCCTTAAGAAATTCGAACCGGTTGCGGGTAGCTAAGCTGTCGTCGATCTTTCGAACAGGGGAGCGCGATCTCTCACGCGAGCATGGCCGCGCGCGAGAACACGAGCGCGAAGGGGAAGAGGAAGGATGGCTAGCACGCGAACAAGATCGCGAACGTTCACTGGGCTTCTAAAAAAAACTATCAATATGTTTAGACCAAGACTGTAGGGGGACGGTCAAACATTCCACCACCTGAAGATCACCACTAACCGGCGATCCACTCTCCCGCGGCATGACGACGGCCGAGGCCCTCGGCACAGCCGAGAGGACCGTCGATTTTTCACAGCCGCTCACTTTTGATGAATTCGAGATAAAATCACCCGAGATATCACCTCTTTGCACAATTATGCACTAAGAAAATCGAAGCGACGCGCCTCAACATCCGGAAATTGCGCAAACGCTGAGAATAGGAAGAGGAAGGAGACACACGTCCGCACTCTACCGCCGCCAGATCGCGAATCGGATATTCTTCTTCTTCTTCTTCTTCTTCTTCTTATTATGGCTTCCGCTTCCACGAGGAGCTATACAGCCTGGATACCAATCGCGTAGACAAAAAGTTATTAAATTCGACTATATAGTGAGTTGCAGGGATTTAAGATATGTGACAATAAGATTGCAGAATCTAGGAAAAGGGTCCTTGATCATAGGGAATATATCAATAGGATAAGTGGAAAATTTTTTCTTAATAAAAGTGTGGAGTTTACTAGACTTGTGTATGACGAGCAGTAGAAAATGACATGATTGATTTGACATGATTTGATTTGACATGATTGTCCTGTCTTGCTTCCCTGCAGGGGCAGGCTGGAGAATCGACAATATTTTTTCTATATAAACTGTAATTCAGATTATAATGGTTGCTTCGAATCCGAGAAATGCACACGATTTCCTCTCTCTTCAATCCTTTATTGTAGTTGTTGTAGAAAATAATTTTGCATTTATTGTATTTTATAAGAGATAAGTTAGTTGCAGGATCTTTTGTCTTTTATATTTTTCTATTCTTTTCTCCTGGGTTACGTATGTTGTTTATTAAAAAAACACACTCACTTTTGTAACAATCTTGACACTGAAGACATGTAAAACCTTTGCGTTTAATAAAGTTCGCTTATAATTAATACACTGCAAATCTGTGGCTTAAATGAATTTTATCAGATTATCGGTCCAGGATAGTTGGTAAAAGTTTAATAGCTTCAGTGTTTATAAATTAAGAAATGGCCAAGATATCGGCGGAAGACTTAAAACAAATCGAGAAGCTATCAGCGGTCGATGATTATCAAATTTGGAAGTTTCAAGTAATGATAATTTTATGAGCAAATGAGCTGTATGATGTTGTCATTACGGAGACGCCGGAAGATCAGCGAAATGAAGTCTGGAAGAAGAAGGATGCGAACGCGCAAAGGGTGATTGTTACAACACTGGATAAGAAACCTTTACTTCATATTATGAGTTGTAAAACTGCACATGACA